GGGGAAAGTTTGGGTTTTGGGGGGGAAAGTTTGGGTTTTGGGGGGGGAACTGGCACTGCTGTCATGGTAGTGGTGAGCAGGGGGACCCCCAATGCTGCCCTCCCCAGGGAGCAGGACTGCTGCCTGCCCCAGAGGGTGCCCACCCCCTCGGGGACACAGCGGGTGCCGCGGGGGGATGTTTTGTGGCCCGGCCACAGACATAGCTGTCGGGGTGAGAACATGTTTATTCCTCTGCCGCGCTTATCGCTGGAGCTGCCCCCGGCGCCGGGTGCCCACAGCGGCACTGGCGTTAAGCCGGGCTGAGCCGGAGGAATCCGGGGGGTATTTACAGGCAGGAGGTGGCAAAGTCCAGGGGAATGCAGCAGGACGGGCCCCTGGCCCTTCGCTTCACCCTCTGGCACCGGCCAGGGCACCCGGTGACACTGTGCCATGGTGCTCTGGTGCCCTCCCCGCCAGGGGAAATGCCCAGCCCCGTCCCCCTGGCAGCCGGGTGGCACTGGGGACACACTGGTCCTGGCCACTGCCACCCCAGCCACCCCCCGACACTCAGAGGGTGCAATGGCAGAACTGCCCAGTCCCCCCCATCGGCTGCCCCTCTTGCTGGGAAAACTGCAAGGAACACGCCCCAGTTTGTGGGGGTTCTTGGAATGTGGAATTGGGGGCAGTTGGTGGGAGGGGAGTTCCCTGGTCCTGCCCGAGGCCTGGGCCGTGGCAGGGAGTCGGGCTGGCACCGGGCTCGCCCTGCGGCTCCCCCTCCTCTGCGTCTGCCTGAGCCGGTGTCAAACATTTTTTGGGTGGTGAATCCATAGAAATGGGAGCTGATGGTACCTCCGGGACAACTCGCAGTCCCTGAGGGTCCTGCTCTGGGGGAGATCTCCCGCAGGATGGGGCTGCAGCTCCGGCCATCCCCTCCCCGCCGGGGGCAGGAGCAGCCCTGGCTGCCCACACGCGTCACCCCGAGGGGGCTCTTCATCCCCCACCGCAGGGTGGGCAGGAGATGCCTGTCCCAGGGCTCCCGCCTGGGGCTGCAGCTGTGGGGGGACCCCACTGCACCTCTTGGGGGTGCAGGGGTGTGGGGGGGGGGCGTGCCAGCCGGGGGTTAAATCCCTAAGGATAACGATGTACGGATCACCCCGTGGGCTGCAGCGGTTCGGCCGTCTCCAGTGGTGCCGCAGGGCGAGCTCCTCCCTGGTCCCTGGCTCAGGGCTGGTGGGGACCCTCCGGCTGCCCCGGGACAGACCCCTGGGGGTGCCTTTCTGCCCCCCATCCCATCCCATCCCATCCCTGTGCCCCCCACGCCTGCCATGGCCATGCTTCCTGGCTCATCCCTGCCCATGTCCGGGCACCCGGCCCATGGAGGCTCCGCTGGGAGCCAAGGGGCCTCAAGCCCCGGGGGCAGCTGCCGGGGGGGCTGTCACCTCCCCTTGGAGGTGTTTGTGATGGACGGGGGACGAGCCCGGGTGCCCTGCCAGCAGCCCGCCCGCAGTGCAGAGTGACAGCCCGCGGCTGTCGGTGACGAGTCAGGCGGGTGTGCAGGCGTCACCGCCGCAGTCACGAGCTGTGGGCTCCGGCCGGGCCGTGGCTGTCGGCCCAGGGGACCACAAACAACAACAGGACGCAGCCGGTGGCAGCCATGCCCTGTCTCTGCGGGGTGGGGGGGGACACCGAGCTGAGGGTGGCATCGGGCAAGTGAGGGAGAGCAGCAGATGTCATCTGCCTTGACTTCAGCAACGCTTTTGACACTGTCTCCCATAACATCCTCATTAGAAAATTAAGGAAGCGTGGGCTAGATGAGGGGGCAGTGAGGTGGATTGAGTCCTGGCTGTGTGACAGAACTCAGAGGGTTGTCATTAACGGAGTTGGAGGCCTGTAACCAGCAGTGTCCCCCAGGGGTCAATACTCAGCCCAGTCCTGTTCAACATGTTCATCAATGACCTGGACGAGGGGACAGAATGTATCCTCAGCAAGTCAGGTGATGATACCAAACTGGGAGGACTGGCCGACACTCCAGAGGGCTGTGCTGCCATCCAGTGTGACCTGGACAGGCCAGAGAGCTGGGCAGAGAGGAACCTCATGAGGTTCAACAAGGGCAAGCGTAGGGTCCTGCACCTGGGGAGGAAGAACCCCAGGCACCATCAGAGGTTAGGGGTGAATCCTCTGGGAAGCACTTCTGAGGAGGAGGATCTGGGGGTCCTGGTGGAGAGTAAACTCTCCATGAGCCAGCAATGTGCCCTTGTGGCCAAGAGGCCAGTGGGATCCTGGGCTGCATAGGGAAGAGTGTGGCCAGGAGGTGGAGGGAGGTCATTCTCCCCCTCTGCTCTGCACTGGGGAGGCCACAACTGGAATATACTGTGTGCAGTTCTGGGCTCCCCAGTTCAAGAGAGACAGGGAACTACTGGAGAGAGTCCAGCGTAGGGCAACACAGATGATGGAGGGATTGGAGCATCTCCCTGATGAGGAAAGGCTGAGAGAGCTGGGGCTCTTCAGCCTGGAGAAGAGAAGGCTGACGGGAGGCCTTATCTACATTTACAAGTATCTAAAGGGTGGGTTGAAGGAGGATGGAGCCGGACTCTTTTCAGTGGTTCCCAGTGACAGGATGAGGGGCAACGAGCACAAGCTGGAACATGGGAAGTTCCACCCAAATCTGAGGAAGAACTTCTTTGGAGTAAGGGTGGCAGAGCCCTGGCAGAGGCTGCCCAGGGAGGGTGTGGAGTCCCCTTCTCTGGAAATCTTCAAGCCCCGCCTGGATGCTCCTGAGTGATGTGCTCTGGGCAACCCTGCTTTGGCAGGGGGTTGGACTGGAAGATCTCTAGAAGGTCTCTTCCAACTCCGACAATTCCCTGATTCCACGATTCCATCTACTGAGCGTCCCCCCTCTCTCCCCGCTGTCCCCAGGCCTGGAGTCCCTGCGTGACAGCGCCCACTCCACTCCGGTGCGATCGACCTCCCATGGCGACGCCTTCGTCCCCCCCGGCCGGGGCGGCCGCGCCGAGAGCAGCGAGCGGGTGGCCGTCATCGCCGACGAGAACTACAGCCCGGCGGACAGCGTGCTGCCCACCCCGGTGGCCGAGCACAGCCTGGAGCTGATGCTGCTCTCGCGACAGGCCAACGGGGCCCCGTGCAGCATCGAGGAGGAGAAGGAGTCGGAGGCGGGCACGCCGGCAGCGGGCGATGCGGAGGAGGCGGGCGGGGAGCTGCGGGCCCTCTGCCCGGGCGCCGGCGGCCTGGGGGCGGCGCAGGCCGAGCAGGTGAATAAGTTTGTTTTAAGTGTCCTCCGTTTGCTCCTTGTGACAGTTGGACTCCTCTTTGTTTTGCTCCTCCTCCTGATCGTCCTTACCGAGTCCGACCTTGACACTGCCTTTTTCCGTGATATCCGCCAGACCCCCGAGTTCGAGCAGTTCCATTACCAATACTTTTGTCCCCTCAGGCGATGGTTTGCCTGCAAAGTCCGCGCCATGGTAAACCTGCTCATTGACACCTGAAGGCAGGAGCCGCCACCTAACTATGCCGGGGGCCCGGGGAGAGACCCGCCGCCGTCCTTCGGCCCCCTCACTAATCCTCCCCTCCCGACCCACGGCGCCTGCCGGGAGGAAGAGGGGGGTGGGCGCAGATCCCCCCCTGCCCGGGGCCTCCTCCTCCTCCTCCCCGCTGCTCCCACCCCCGGAGCCCGCACAGCACCCTCCGTCCCGACCCCCACAGACGCCCGCAGGACTTGGGAAGCACCGAGCAGAGAGAGGAGTTTGTTTTGCTCTGGCCGCCCGCCACGGCACGATGCTGTGTCACGCAGGAGCTTTGGCAATGGTGCTACTCAGCCTTGATTTACACACTCCTGTACTCCTACGCTACGAAATCCGCCACCGTGCACATCACCCGAGCACCGCTTCGCAGAAACCCTTCCCTGCTGCCCGGAGTCTCCTACACGGGATGCGCGGTGTGAGGCCGACGGGGAGCACCGACCAGTGAAGGGAACCCTTGCCCCGCGCCACAGCATCGACCAGCGAAGGGCAACCCTCACCCCATGCTACAGCATCGTCCCGCCAAGGGCAGCCTTCGTCCCACATTGCAGCATCGACTGGGGATGGGATCCTTCACCCTGCACCACAGCATCACGCAGCCCTCGTCCCGCTCCACAGCATCACCTGGGGAAGGGAGTCTTCACCCCACACCACAGCATCACCTGGGGAAGGGAGTCTTCACCCCACACCACAGCATCACCTGAGGAAGGGAGTCTTCACCCCACACCACAGCATCACCTGGGGAAGGGAGTCATCACCCCACACCACAGCATCACCTGGGGAAGGGAGTCATCACCCCACACCACAGCATCACCTGGGGAAGGGCAGCCCTGGCCCCATTGCCGCAGCATCACCCAGGGAAAGGAACCCTGGCCCCACAGCACAGCATCGCCCAGAGAAGGCCAGCCCTGGCCCCATGGACTCGACCTCTCCCCATGGCTTCTGAGCCTGGCCGGGGCGGTGCTCCCCGGGGTAGGGAGGGCAGAGCTCACCGGGCACCCCCAGCCAGTGCCGGGTGCGCAGCCAGCAGTGACCGTGTCGGATTTATTAGGAAGACCTTCAGCCTCTGGGAGTTCTACCTGTTTTGTACAAAAAAAAGAAAAAAAGAAAAAAAAAAGAAAAAAAAAAGACTGTTTCAAGGTCTATTTTAACAACAAAATGCTATTTTATTATGGAATCTAATCAAGTCTTTTTTTACTTTTCGGCTCGGTGGCAGCGGTCAGTGACCCCGCTGAACCAAGTGGGGGGCACTGAGGAAACGGCTCGGGAGGAAGCACGTTTGTAGCCTGGAAGCCTCACAGCAGATGAACCCGGCGCTGGGTTGGGGCTAGAGGAAGGAGCTATAATTTTGTGACTTTCCTGAAGGTAAAAAAAGGCCAGAACTGCAGGAGTGGAGGTGACACTGAACAAGCCAATGGACAGCCATTAGACATACTTGTTGTTAAGCAAAAATCAATAAAAGCAACTCATCACGCTTGTGACGTAACCACCGGGACCTTCAGTTACCTGGGGAGCAGCAGTTTATTTCCACAGGGAGCAATAAAAGCCAGTTCTGTTAAGTTTTTGGTTGAGAAGTTGGACATACTTAAAAAAAAAAAAAAAACAAAACACAAAAAAAAGGTAAAAACAGGTGAGCGAGTTTTATTTCATCTCAGGGAGAGATTTTACGTAAGCTGGGGCCATAACTGCAGTTTTAAAGAAAAAAACAAAAATGAAAAGCCTGATTTCTGTGTTGTTGTCTCTGAGCATCCCCCATCCATCCCCCCGCGGGGACCAGCGCCGCTCCCCGGGTCGGTGCCCGGCCAAGGAGCCCCCCGGTGAGGACACCTCGGCCAGACCCGGCTCCTTTGGCCCCGCAATAAGGAGAGAGCCCCCGGGCGCTGCCGGGAGGGGGGTGATAAAGCCCCCAGCCCTCGTGTCTCGCCGCCGAGGAGGCAGCAGCAGGGCCGTGGGGGGCTTGGCGTGGAGCCCCCAGCTCATGGTGGGGGTGGTGGGGGTGTCAGGAGACGCTTCGGGCGCTGCCAGGAGAGGGGGGAGGGATTTGTTTTCCACGTTTGATCCCGTTTTATGCAACGCAGCGGAATTCACTCTTAGCGTAGTGTCCTACCTCAGCCCGTAGTCTCTGGTGTCTCTATGCAGTGCGTGGTAGTCCCCAACCTGACGTTTCTCGCCCCGGGTTACAGACGCAGCGTGTGTGTGTGTGTCCCCGTCACTGCTGATGTCCTGCTGATGTCCCCACAGCCCGGACACCCCCTCCACCCGCAGCGCAGCCCCCCCTTCCCACCCTGGACACCTTCAGCTTTCTCTCCACACGCGATTCCCGCCAGCCCGAGCGTCACCTCCGCAGGTTTCACCCCTTTTACTGCAAAACCACCACAACTGGTCACTTAGGAATTTTTTTCCCCCGTTGTCTGTTTTTCCTGTTGGTTCCACATCGCGTCTTGTGTTCCACCACCCCTTAGTTTTACCTGTCTTTATATTAAAATGTTGTTTCCATAGGTTCTTCTATCAGAAAAAGAAATAAATCTCGTACTAGCGTACTGCATCTTCACGCAGTAGATGGTAAAATACCTGACAATGTGAATTTCTTAGTTTTCATAAAAAAAAAAAAAAGAATCTAGAAATTAACCTTTCATGTGCCAAATACTGTAAGTTACATTTTTTCCTTCAAAATGTACCTTTTTCTACATACTCAGTATCTTAGTTAGCATAAAAATCATTGGTGCCATGAGAAGTATTTTTAAATTTAAATAAATATTTAAATATCACGATCGCCAGCGCTGGTCTGGGCTTTGTTCAGGAGTTACTGTCAGCACCAGTTCATCACTCCAGTGACACACTGTCCCAGTGGGGTCCCTCACAGCCCCCCTCCGAGGGGGCTCATGGGTGCTGTGGCCAGTGAGCCCCAGGACCACAGCCCCCACCCCAGCCTGCACCCCCTGCACCCCAAAAACTCCCCCAGTTCTGCTCAGAACCACGGGGCTTCTCCAGAAACCAAGTCCCCCCCCCGCCCAGTGCTTGTCCTTCTGCCCCCAGGAGGGGTTTAACCAGCCCTCAGACACTTAAGGGACATGTTTTGCTGAGGACACAGACCCCAAACACCTGCTCCCCAAAACCCCACGTGGGGGGCAGAGAGCAAGCACCTCACATTCCCTAATGAAAATGATTAATTGGAGCCTCAGGCCCAGGGCAAGTACCCTCCTGAGCCAGGGGTTTTTCTTGTTTTGGAAAATGACTTGAGTATTGGGGAAATACTTCTATTTTCGTACAACTGTCAAAGCAGGATTAAATTCTTATTTATTTTTTTTAAATCAAAGAAGAGAATGCCAAACGTAGTTTAGAAGATTTATTTTAAAGGTTTTAAAATATACTCTTGTCCTGAGAAAATGCAGTTCGCTTAGAAACAGCTTCATAGAGATTCAACAAATTTAATGCAAAAAGGCAAAAAAAAAAAAAAAAAAATCTCTCTCTGAGCCACTTTTATTCTTCTTTGAACACGTGAAGGCGGCCGCTGGAGTTGCCGCCCACCAGGATGTTCTTGGTGGGATGGAGCACGTTGATGGAGCAGACGGAGCCGAGGCAGTCGGGGCTGGAGAAGGCGTGCAGCAGCTCCCCCGTGTCCCGGAAGAGCTCGACCTGGCGGGGCCGTGCCAGGCTGCCCACCACGAAGCAATCCTCCCGCCGGGGGTCCCACACCGCCTGGAACCGCGTCAGCCAGCGCCCCGTGTTGTTGTTGTGTCTTCGGGGACACAAACAGAGTGTGGGGGGAAAAAAAACAACAAACAAACAAACAAACAAACAAAGAGATGAACCTTCCTCTTCTTGCAGCCAGGATTTTTAAGTATCATCATTAATGTCATAGGTGCTTAAACCCATTTCCTCGCCTCCTAAACCCCCGGCGTTGGGCAGGTCCCACTGCTCACACCCCCCCAGTGACCACCAGGCTGGGAGGGGAGAAGGAAATGGAGCAAGAGGATAAAGGAGAGGGTGCTTTTTGATGTGATTATTCATCAAAACAGTCATACTTCAAGGTTGCACACATCAGTAAAAATAGGACAAACACACATCAAGCCTGTCAATAAACCACAAACTAGGAATTTCCAAGCCAGCCACTGGGCTAGTTCCAGCCCCTCAGGAAACCACCCCGGCGGTGACTCGCCCACTGGAGCACAAGGGGGTTCTACAAGTGCTGAGATTTTTCCCCAAACCACACACTTTTCTGTTCAGAGGCCATCACAGCACCCCTGCGGGCTCACTGGCTGTGCCCCAGCCGTGGTGAGGGACAAAAGGCACCCGTGGGGACGAGGGTGAATTCCCAGGCTGGAGGGTGCTGGGGCTGCTCTGGCTCCCGTCACCCTGGGGCTGTTGGGGACCACGGCACCCACCAGGGAAACAGCCACAGCCCGGGCTGTCCTCAGCCCCAGCACCTCCACTCACCTGATGGTACTGAGAGCTCTGACCGTCGGTGACAAAGAAGAGGTGTCATAGACCCTGGAAGACAGAAGGACGTGTGTTAAACCTGGCAGCTCTCTCCTCCCAACATTAGCTCCCAAACACCAACATCCCAACTGCCAGTGTTAAATTTGTGTTTTTAATTGGATTTGCTCTTTGCTAGAATTGAAGGTCATCCTTTCTGAAGGCCCTTTGAGGAGGGGGAAACGTTTAACCTAAAAGAGGGGAGACTGAGATGAGACGTGGGGCAGAAGTTCTTTGGTGTGAGGGTGGTGAGAGCCTGGCCCAGGTTGGCCAGAGAAGCTGTGGCTGCCCCATCCCTGGAGGGGTTCAAGGGCAGGTT